AATGTGAGTGTGCTTGGTTGTCTGTCTCTAAGTGTAGCCCTGTGATAGACTGACGACCTTTCCAAGGTGTCCCCTGCCTTCACCCTAAGTCAGCTGGGATAGGCTCCAGTCCCACCCTAGTGAGGATTAAGCGGTGAATAGATAATGGATGGATGGATGGATGGATGGATTTTTAGCTATTTTAATACAGTCCCTGTATCCAAATGTTACACCAAAACAATTCCCCTGTCAGTATTTTGAGGTGACACATTGCTTCATCCTTGGCTTAGCTCTGCTCATTACGACTGCGATTGGTTTAAAGGAATACACACAAGCAAGAGCTTTTTCTCCCATACAACAGAATGATACTGCTGCTGCATAACGGTCTGATAACCTGAAATGAAACTACAGCATGTTCCTCTCGATTTCAAACAGACAAGCAAGACAGCAATGCGACGAGCCATATTTGCAGCACAATATACAATTTAATCAACTCAAAACAATCTCAAAAAAGTAAACCTACAAACAACAAGGAGCAACTTACGCAGCTGTAAACAACATTTGGATTATTTTTCTTATTAATGACTCCTATCTCCTACCTATTATTTATTACTCTCTCTTTGTCACAGTCAAGGTTTCTTTTTATGGACATTACAGTTTGTAATAGATGTGAAATCATTTAGTAAAGTGAGCAAGCAGGAGAGGAATTTTGTGATTTGGTATCTTTGGTGCTCTCTGTGATGTTTTGATGTTTTTGATGTATTAGTGCTGAAATGTGGAAAATACCTTCCCCAAATCGCTTCACACAACTCTAAGTATGTTGGTTGAAGCAAGAGCATGAAGACTTGTACCGTGTTAAAACCCAAAGTGTCGGCTTTTACGGGAAAGTTACCAGGGTGCTCATTCTGACATAAAGCAGACACAGTCATATGCCATCAAATAATGAAAAGGGGCTCATTTTTGGGCTGTTTTTTTGTGTCGTTTTTAATGTCTTGAATAGGTAACAATATGCTTTCCTCTGTGCTCAGTGCTCAGCTTCCTTTGCAATGCACTACCTAGTCAAATATACGCTCAGCAGGTTGTTAGCAGCATGCACATATATGACACACTGGAGCAATGTTTCTCTGTGTGTTGCTGTTTCATGGCTCAGTCGTGCATGAAATCTACAAAAACCCAGTGACTGTGTTTGCTTTGTGTGACAGTTTGTGTCGCTGCCTCTGAGCCTTTTTCCCACTGCGAGAGCTGCTCCACTGTACTAAGTATGTCAACAATACCAGCTGAGAGGCAGCCTTCAGTCCACACACTGCGACTGCAGACTAATCCTTAAAAGAGAGAAACTGGGAGAAATAGAGGAGGGAGGAAAGCGCAGAGGTAGAAATATAGAGCGAGTACGTGGGAAGTGGAAGGATGGAGGTGAAAAGAGCAGGAGACTGAGCGAGTCAAATTTGACAGCGAGCGAGAGAGGAAGAAGAGAGGAGAAAATGTGGATGCTAGAGAGAGAGAGGGAGTGAGAGATTTTAATGTTTCAAAGGATTTCCCTATCACAGTCTCTGACACATTACATACACAGCTCACTATCAGCCCCAATGCTGACAGCTGCACAAATTGGCTGAAAGAGGTTCCCTGGGCAAGGCCTTTGATCAGGTGTGTGTGTGTTGTGTCAGCGAGACGAGAGGAAGCAAAGAGATTTCATACATTTGTGCATACCTGGACATCTCGGTGAAGAAAGGCTGTTTTCTGCTCCAGACCACAGTGGAATAAAATAAATGTATAAAGATAAGAGTAACATTGTGTGTATGTGTGTTAATAAATGCTACCAGTCTGGTATCATACGTCGCATGAGCTGGCATTGTGTTTGTAAGTATGCAATGTATGTTATCTTAAGCAGGTATAGCTTCTATTCCAGTGACATTTCTCTTTCAGATTTCAGCCTGGGGTCTTTTATTTGTGTCTGACACTTTCCATCAACCACGTATTCATGTTATCTCGCAGGGGTGGTCGGTACACAAACCCTTTGTTGAAACGCTCATATCGAGTCAGCCCTCGACGCAGTTAAGGCTTTGAAGCAGGGAGGTTTTCATTATCATGATCACAGACGCCACATACAAAACCACACACGCTCTCCTTGGTACAGATTTTCTTGTACCTCCCATGACATTAATCAACCCTGTTTCCCAAAACAATAAGCAACTAAACTGCATTCTCAATTATATTTTGAAAGAAATATAGCCTATTTTTCTCCCAGAAAGGTAGGAGTGTGATGTTGTAGGATGTATTTCCATTTTGAAAGAGCAACAAAAAGGAGATTGGATGGGTGATGATGGCATAAACCCAACACTCAGAACTTTCACCAAGTGCACTTTTACTTTCATTTTCACCTGCTGTGTGGTAAAGTTTAGGCACCAACACTACTCGGTCAGGTGTCGGAAAATATCACAGTTTGGGTTAAAATGCACCTTTTCACAACATTAACTCCATGTTTGGAGCTTCCTCTCTGGACTCCTACACCATTTAATATGTGATAAATTGGCTGAAAAGAGCAACATTTGGAAAATAACTGTAATAAAAATAAGATTTGTGATACAAACAAATGTAATTCAGGTGGAAATATGTTTCCTTCAAAACGGAATTGAGAATGTAGTTCAATAGAGAGAGATCATTTGAAGGTACAGAACATAAAGCATGCTGAATAAAAGTATTTTGGCCGAGAGGAGACTCCCCCTTGGGGTCTAGACGCTGTTGGTCGAGGAGCAAATTTAGCAGATGGCTGATGGAGACTGGGGTGAGCTGCCCTGGACAAACCAGAGAAGGTGGAGAAGGGGAGGAGAAAGCTGGCACATAGATCACTGGAAATAGCAGTGAAGTTGAAAATGAAGTGATTTTGACAGTGTGAGAAAACACAAGTGACAAAGACAATAGAACAGCAGGAACAATCCATATGGACTGAGAGAATTAGACACAGGCTGTGAAAAAAACAGATCTTTCTTGCTGAACTTAAGATTAATTTTATGGAATTTTATTATTCATGCATTGGATGATATACTTTTATGGAGTTTCCTGCAGAAAGCAATTCCTTGTGCATATGGAAACCCATTCATCATGACTGAAGAAAACCCAATCGTCTATACTTATGATTATTGTATTTATTGATTCATAATTCAGAAAATGAAGTCTCTTAAAATAATGAAACGTACATTTCAAGAGCTCAAAGATTTACAGTAAAATCAATTACGTATCTGTTAAGTGACCTGACTGATTGATTGATTAATTGATTAGATTCAGTCTTTATGCATTCTTACATTTGTGTCTTCAGTAGCTTGCAGACAAAGACAGTATTTCCTCTGTGAACACTGTATTGTGAGATATTCTGGAAAAAATACCAGACTGCAAATGTAGTATTTGTCACTGCCATTAAAATGATGTATTACGTAATGTTGCGTTTTTTCCATCTCTGTCCTTTGTCATGTTTTTGTGGAGTGTTTAAAGGCCGATTCGAGGGTGTTAGTGTGAGGTACTGGCCTGTAAATAACGCAGGCACCGTCTCCTTTTACTGCTACATGTCTGCTGCACATGTGTTGAATCCTGTTAGCGCTGTCTGTCGGAGCTGCCAGCATACCTGTGTGTGCGGGTGTGTGTTTGTGTCAGGAATTGTGTGTCAGTTTGAGGGAAGTACAGGTAATGGATTAATATCAGAGCTGGCTCAGGCTGCACATTGCTGTGTGGTGACAGCCTGTCATTATCACAAACACCGGCTCACACGCACAAGCTCGCACAAGCTCACTTGCATTTGTGTATACACATTCAGACACACACATACAGGATTCATCCAAGCACATAAACTCTCGCTGTCTCACCTGCCTCTCTCCCGTTCTCTCGCTGTCTCTCTCACTCATCGACACGACCCACAGTGGAACCAGGCTGTGATCATCTCAAACTGCAGCAGGTTCTTGAACTTGTTCCATCTACTTACCAACAGTGGGACCAATCCTGAGACTAGGCGTCTTTGTCGAGCCAGTGTCGCTGTTTTGCTCCAAACATGAAGGTAGCAGACAGGCTGTTTTGAACACTGTTGTCATAGGAGCCATCGAGCTTGTTTACTTCCCTCAAACTTAACCTAATAGTTTGCCTAAGGCTGCGGGCAGGCAGGGGTCATCGGTGCCAGACACTCATTAATGCCTGCACTGCCCTTCTTTCCTGCCAGAAATGGTCATCTTATTAAGCCATTTAGTCAGTATTGAGCTGTGTAATTGGACAGTGGAGCCCAGTAGGAAATGTTTGAGTAAGTTAAGGTTGGTAAGGACCTGAATTAAACACTGGATTGTGCATCCACAGCAGAATGCACGGAAGAATCCATTTTCAGACACATTAAATGTGCAAAATTCAGCTCTGTTTGATTTGAAACTTACCTCAATTTGAAGTCGCAACACCACTTGTATCAATCACTCTCTTTGATAAGTCTGATCTACCTTTTCTTGCACCCGAAAACACGAAAAGACAAAGTCTGAGGCTTTTTTCACCACCAACAAGCCACACACTCACTTGCTTTGTAAACCTCTTCACGATCAGTGGTTTGGAACAATTCCTTCTCTAAAAACATGGAAATACTGTAACTTTGAGTAGGTCAACCCAGTCATGACTCACAATAATGTTTATTATGCTGTCATTAAATCTAACCAAGTGTAGAAGCTACCGCTGAGATCCAGCACAGCATGTTGTTGTTATTGATGCACGCTCCTGTGGTAAAACTTGGTACCGCAATCATCAAGCGCTGCTGATTTCTCATATCCTGCTTCTCTAATTTGATGCACTTCCTGATGAATCAAGATATTGGTGTGGGACAGGAAAATGTTGCTCAAAAGGAGTTTGGTTTTGTTTGTTTAGGACTGTGGGGCAGAATCTGAAAAGAGCTTCTATTTTTTTTGCATTATAAAAATGTAAGAAATTCAACAAATGCAAAAAAAAATATTGTGTTGTGATCTTAGGTGACCTTTCCCTTTCTTTTTGTGTTTCTCTCTCAGCAGCAGTCCTATGCTCCTCCCCCTCCGCCTATGGCTCCGCCCAGCCCCGGCACCACAGGAGGAGGAGGAGGTGGAGGTGGAGGTGGAGGTCAGGGAGGAGGGCTAATGGAGCAACTTAGTAAGACCAACCTGTACATCAGAGGCCTGCCGCCTGCCACCACCGACCAGGACCTCATCAAACTATGCCAGCCGTGAGTTCCTTCTATTCTATTCTATTCTATTCTATTCTATTCTATTCTATTCTATTCTATTCTATTCTGTTCTGCTCCGGCCCAGTCCTCACTCTGCAGAAGCATTATACAGCGTCCTTCAGTGCTGCTGAGTTCAGTTCATTCCTGCTCAGTTCACTTCAGCTTGTGGTAATTAGTGTTGCGTGAGTCCAACAGCAGCTTATAATGAGTATCAACAGTTTGCTCTTGACCTCTGTGTTCCTCCTCCCTGCTTCCTCAGAGGAAAAAACACAACCCAGCTGGGCCTAACCCATCCGCTCCCCTCTGCACTGCGTCATCTGCACACACAAGGACACACAAATGCATCCTTCTGTCCATCAGTGAGAGAGAGAGTTTTAAACCCCTCAGTTATCAGCAAATTTACTAACATTTTGAGGCATTTCTGGCGTTAATGAGACTGTGGCGGGCCACTCCACGCATTCCATGATTATAGTAATGAAATTAGGCTGTAAAGACGTGGAACTGCATTTCGTTACCAGTACAATGTGTAATGTGATGACTTTGGCTACTCAGTGTTTTACAGCACCCATTACTTTGACATTTGCCAAGAATCTAAACATTTCCGTAATCCAAACTGATCTGCAAGGTTGATTTTAGGAGTGATGAAGGCATGTTTTCATTATTCATTAGCAGCTCTGTTACGACTGAGCAAACCCTGATCCATTGTTTGTTTAACCCACTATGTCACATTTTTACTCACTGTAGGCTCATTTTTAACTGCAATATCAAGTCCTGCACCTCTGTGGAAACAGCATAACCATGGCTAGAAATAAAGGATATCTATACATGTTTTCTCTGCACTATATCACAGTTATACCTGTTCTCTGTTTGTGTAAACACAGCCTATAGTTCTGCCTAGTTTAGCTGAAAATTCCCTGACTGGTTCTCATATGACTGCTGGTCACAGCTGAGTTTGTCGTGATGCACAGATGAGCACAGCAAGTTATTTTTTTAATTTTTTTTTTTTTAACAGAATCCAGTTACATCAAAAGCCTATTTTTGGCAAATTTCTAATTTTTATTAAATGTCAGATTTTTTTTTTAGCTTCGAATTTAATTAATTTTGATCATGATTAGTTCAAAGACTGTCAGAAAGATGAAATTTTAATGTTTCTGGCTCTGATAAATGGTGTCATTTTGGTGATTTTATTATTTATTTATTTTTTTGTAGGATACCTTTCAAACCCACCAGAGAGTTTTAGGGCTTCAAAAGATTAAAACCATATAAACTGTGAGATTGAGGGTTTATTCTTGAGCTTGTAAGCATCAACTGATGAAAACAATCTCACCACAAAGTCCATCTTGTAAAGTTGTTTTCTTTTAATTTTCTCCAGCAGGTTGAGTAATAGAAGAAATATAAATAATTGAATTACAAATAAAGATAAACAAAATTTGCAATAGTTGTTTTTTTTTTTTTTTTTTTTTAAATGAAAATATTATCAATAAATGTAGTTTTCCATCATAGTAAGTTTAAACAGCATTTAGGCAAGGCTTTGGGATTATTGTACAATTCAGTGGTTTTATTGCTTTAAAAAGAAACTTTTATAAACCTTAAAACACAAACTTCAACTTCTACATTTAACTTCTAATTGTTTCTAGGCAGAAATGTACTGTTTTAAAGCACATCCCAACAAACTTGATTTAGTAATTTCAGAATAAAATAAATAGAAATACTGACTTTTTTGAAATTATGGGCAAAAATGCTTCTAAGCATGACTCGGGTTAGTGCTAATGAAACATTTCTGCTAAAATGCTGATATGGCACTAGATGACATGCCTGTTCTCACGTTCTAGTTCTATCTGCTCTGTTCTTCTTGATAAAATTGGTAAATGATGTGGTTTTCCTGATAATTCCTCGACTGTAGTAGCTTAAGCGTTACCAACAGAATCACTGGTGATAGCACACTCAGAGTCGATCCTGCACATTTCACTCCCAGTTGTCCCCAAGTGGACAAACTGGATCATCACAAAATGTAATGCAAGTGATAAACCAGCTCTCCCAGAGAGGCTCTTGTTTGCCCGTAGTCATAACCCGAGTATATCATCAAACTGGATACAGATCTATCATTAATTATCATTATCTCTTATTTTCTACGGATGAGCTGTATAAGATCTGTCCAACATAGTAGTCCAATTTGGAATAAAGAAAAAGGCACAAAAAAGTGAAGATGGCCTCACATATGCACACACCATACCTTGCCCTTCTGCGTGTCAGCTGCAGTTCAAGCCTGTTGTATTTCAGCTTCGCCCAGAGGCGTTCTGGAGAAACAGGGTGAAAAATGGGGGCCAATAAAAGTTTCATTAGAGGCCCAGTCAGTGTGCCAAGTGGCCAGTAACATTTAGGAAAGGTCACTGGGGGAGAGGGGGGAGATCTGCGTGTGCTGTTGGGCAGCAGTTACAGCGCCGGCTTCCTAAATCTCCCCGGCTTTCGGAAATAGACTGAGTGGCAGTTTCCTGTCATTCACTGACATGACGTGCACGCATGCGCACACGAGAACACACACACACACACAAGCATTTCATTCATTCACACAGTTACAATGAATAACGGAAGGACAGTCCCTTGCCACTGTCACACACACACACACATACACACACACACACTCTTTCAACTCAATGTCATTCTCATCCTTATTGTTGCAAAAACGTGGCTTTTTTTTGTGTTCCAATCTGCCCACCAGCTCCATCCTCTCCCTTCCCATTCTGTCATCCTCCTCATTTCCTCCTTCCATCCTTCTCTCTCTCTCTCTCTCTGTCCCCCTCTCCCTCTGAACCTCACACCCCCTTCCCTCTCTCTCTCTGTCTCTGTGCCAGTTCTCAGAGTGTCAGTGAAAAGTGCTGTTGTCAGCTGACATTTCCAATCACTCCCCCGGTCGCCCAAACTATGGACACACTTTTAACGTCTGGGGACAGAGCAGAACGTGACCGGAATCTCAAGCCGAGCACAAGGGCAATTTCTCTCTCACTCACTCGCTTTCACTCACACTTGTTGTCTTTCTGTCTCTCTCACACGCTTGCCACTGATGTAAAATTTCTATCTATCTATCTATCTATCTATCTATCTATCTATCTATCTATCTATCTATCTATCTATCTATCTATCTATCTATCTATCTATCTATCTNATCTATCTATCTATCTATCTATCTATCTATCTATCTATCTATCTATCTATCTATCTATCTATCTATCTATCTATCTATCTATCTATCTATCTATATAGTTTTACTACTGAAAGGAAAAATCACTGAAGAATAATATAAAACGGCAAATGACTTTGAGATCTCTCATGAATCATCAACAGCTGAGTTAGAACAGCTTTAATCTTGCACTAAAACCTGCAGTATGGCTCGTGAAATTCAGAAAAAATAAATTGTACTTGGTGTCTTGGCAGCAGTTGATTGATACAAAATCTAAACCTTAGACTTATATTTCTGTCCTGAACTTTATAACCTTAAAGACATTTTTAATTATCATACTTTTTTATGAGCAAAATTCTGGATGGCGGTGGATATACCAAAATACTGGCTGACAGGATGACTCCCAGTCTGCAGAAGCTTAGCAGAAGAGGAATATTCCAGCATGATAATGATCCAGAGCACACTGCCAACATCACACGAGTTACAAAAGAAGATAAAAGTGACCTGACTTGAATCCAATAGAACATCTCTAAGGTATTTTAAAGAGAGAGACAACCGCTCCATCAAAGAGCAGCTGAAAAAAAAATAGTCTCTGAAGAATGGCACAACATCTGTCCAGAAATTTCTGCAACACTGGTGTCCTCCATGCTGAGAAGAATTGAGTCTGTTGTCACAAATAAAGGCATATGAAGTACCTAAATAAAAAGATTTTAATCTCAGCAATGGTATTATTAAAAGTTGTATTGAATTTTGGGAGTTTTAAATCATTTTACCTTTAAGTAATATTGCACAGTGGTGTATCACAAGTCTGCAGGGCATTTTGAAAATAGGCATCCATATTATACACATCATGTGTCATTATTGATCCTCTTCTCTTTGTCACAAAAGACATTTTGGCTTTGCATAGCAGGAAAAAATATATACTATTAAGAACGACTGCATTCCATTTAGGTGGGATTCTTTGAATAGGTTCCAGGTTCCTTGTTTTGTGCAGTCTGGCCCGCTGTCATGCTCACTTAAAGGTGAAGTCTGCGATTCTGGAGAGAGATCGTTGATATTCATCTAGTTTGCATAATCGGATAGTTAGCATATGGCAGATTTACCATCCCTCTTGCTCCCGCTGCCCCTTTTACCCTCTTCCCCTCTTTTTCCTTCTGTCATGTGCACAAGCATGAATATGCACAGGACGCACTGGAAGAGTGTAGGTTGGTCCGAGGCACTTTATTCATTTGCGATTTAAAGAGCCAGGGCTGTGTGCTAACTAGTTGTTTTTTTGTTGTTGTTGTTGTTGTTGTTTTTTCCAGCAGAATGGATAGGTAGTAGAGGAGGTATTGAGAGATTGCTAAAAAAAAGAAAAAAAAAAAAAATTAAATTAGATTCTGTTACTCCTTCTTTATTGGAACTGAGCCATTGTCAAAAAAAGTGCTTCCCTTTTGCTTTTCCTGCTATGACAAGTAAAAATGTCTGCTGTGAAACAAGGGCTATTGGAGGACTCTCACTTTTTTTTTCTTTCTTTTTAAAAGAAAAAAAAATGTTGTGCCTTACTGTTTCTAACTGCCAGTATACTTCATGAGAAGTGCTTCTCAGATGTACCAAAAATCTCTTTGGAAATCCCTCCTGGTGCTGTCGTAGGAGGGAGCTGTGTCCAAAAAAAACATATATGTCATGTTTTGTAATTCCTACGCTGACAACCATTTTACACCCTCTGATATGGTGAGGGGGTTGCAAGGTGGAGCGGTGATTAGCGTTGTTGCCTCGCCGCAAGAAGGTCGCCGGTGAGGACACCCGGGATCTTTCTGTGTGGAGTTTGCATGTTCTCCCC